TTCTCTCTCTCTCTCTCTCTCCCCCTGTCTCTCTCTCTCTCTCTCTCCCACTGTGTCACCCCGAAGGATAAATCATGAGCTTGAATCGTAGAAACATAGAAAATAGGTGCAAGAGTAGTCCATTCAGCCCATCAAGCCTGTGCTACCATTCAATACGATCATGGCTGACCATGCAATCTCAGTATCCCACTCCCGCTTTCTCTCCATATCCCTTGATCCTTTTAGTCGCAAGGGCTATGACCAGCTCCCTCTTGAATCTACCTGATGAACTGGCCCCAACAGTTTCCCTGTGGTGAAGAATTCCACAGGTTCACAACTCTGAAGAAATTCTTCCTCATCTCAGTCCTGAATGGTTTACCCCTTATTCTTAGACTGTGAGACTCCTTGTTCTGGACTACCCCAACATTGGGAACATTCTTTCTGCATCTACCCTGTCCAGTCCCATCAGGATTTCATATGTTCAATCCCAAGCATAAGCTCCACAATCCAGGTCCAATGTACCATCAGGAAGGGCTGCGCTGACAGAGGTGCTGTCTTTCTGACACTCCTCAAACCTCAGGGACCCCTCTTATGGGTGTAGGAGTTCCCAGGTCACTGTATTCTGAGGAGAGTAAGGAGGGGAGTGCTCTCCACAGCACCCTAGGGATATATTTATCTCCAAACCAACATCGGGGAAACAGGGTTATCAGGTTGGCGTTTGTGGGAGCTTGCTGTGTACCACCTTCCCATTTTCCCTAAGAGAACGCCTTGTAAGGAAAGACCACCGGCAAGTTCCAAGGCTATGATAGACACTGCAGGAAGGCAGATCTCCCATTGAATTGAAGTGCCTGCTTCTCACTCAGGAAGCAACGTGTTGCCTGTGCAAGTTGGGTGTAATGTTGATAAGATTAATGAGACTTGGCTGTCAGCTTCTGTTATCATTGTTGTGGAATCTGTGCTGTGAAGCAGCTTCCACTGTCATACAGCACAAAAGCAGACCATTCGCTCCAACTTCCCAAACCAAAGTAGCCCCATCTGCCTGCGTTTGGCCCATATCTTTCCTACCTACGCATCTGTCCAAATATCTTTTTAATGTCGTAATTGTACCCGCCCCTACCTCTTCCTCTGGCAGGTCATCCCATACACGCACTACCCTCTGTGTATCACCCACTTAACCTTCTCAGTGAGAACAGCCCTGGTTTGTTGGATCTAGCCTCGTAATTTAACCTCTAGTGTCCAGCTATCATTCTGATGCATCTACACTGCGTCCTCTCCAAAGCCATTGTGTCTGTTCTAACACGTAGTCCAGGTTGCTTGGGAGGGGGCACCAGTGATGGTCCAGGGAATCTACAAGGGATGCCAGGAAACTGTGCAGTCTCCACCCGAGAGCTCCCACTCCACTTGGGTCGATACTGTCCCTCATCAGAGGGGAAGAGGGAATCACAGGTCTGTTCGATGCCTAGTCCAAAGGTCTTCCTCCATCTGGGATGAGCCCATTTCGGCATTTTGAATTAGAGTTTGGTTTATTTGTCACATGTACTCACATGAGTGCAAAGTTTACAAAGGTGCCACTTACAGCACCATCTTAGGTCCGAAGGTATCCAGGTACAGGATTTTAGGAATAAATTGGGAAAAATAAATAAATTAAGAAGATCAGCATTACAGTCTTCGTGCCATCTTGGGTACAAACACCAAGGTACAAAATCTTAGGACTAAATCAGAAAATAAATAAGTAAAATGTTCAGCAGTACTGAACTTTCAAGCAGGCCGTGCCAGGGCCTCGCCTCCAGGCCATGCCGTTCCTCCAGGCCGTACCAGGGCCTCGCCTCCAGGCCGTGCCATGCCTCCAGGACGTACCAGGGTCTCGCCTCCAGGCCATGCCGTGCCTCCAAGCCGTACCAGGGCCTCACTTCCAGGCCGTGCTGTGCTGGCCCTCACCTCCAGTCCACGCTGGGTCGTCGACTCTGGAACCCAGCGTGTGCCCGCTGTGGGCTTACCGCACACCCACCCCAGGCACAAAAGTCCACTGCCGCTGACGGCCTATCGAGACCCCGAGTCCAAGCACAGGGCCTGCCGAAGCCTGGAGCCCTCGATCTGGGCAGCGCCCACCGCTGGTGCTGACAACGACCCTCTGGCACCATTCCACCTTCACCACAACGTCAGAAGATGGAATGAAAGAAAAGAGAAAGGAGAGAGAGAGAGATAGAGAGAAGGAAGCGGTTGGCCTGGAGCATACAGGCCTCAGGAGCCCTAACCCTCCCTACCTTGCCAGTGCTGCCACTTCAGCATTAGAAATAGGGCATCACATCCCACCTGGACTCAACGCTCCCCTGACTGTCCCGTTTGCTCCATGAATTCTGCATGACCCAAAGGGCATTTGAGACCAGTTTTAACTTCCTGAGAACACAGTTAATTGCCTTTTCCCCATGACCCTTAATCCCCCTAACTGACGAAAAATGTCAGCTCAGCCACAGCATGGCAAACCTCACAGACAGTGCTGTGACGAGTAGCCATCAATGCCTCCAAGTTACATATGTCTATGTTACATGTATAACTTCTGTCAAATGAAAAATTTAAGAACCTACCAGTATTGATAGCATTATACGATGACAGACCTGGCCCCACCAATACTTTACCCCAGTATTACACAGTGCCAGACTTGTCCCCACCGGCACTGTACCCCAGTGTTATACAGTGCCAGACTTGTCCCCACCGGCACTGTACCCCAGTGTTATACATCGACAGACCCGTCCCCACCAGTACTGTACCCCAGTGTTATACAGAGACAGACCTGTCCCCCACCGGTACTGTACCCCAGTGTTATACAGTGACAGACCTGTCCCCCTCCGGTACTGTACCCCAGTGTTATACAGCGACAGACCTGTCCCCACCGGTACTGTATCCCAGTGTTATACAGCGACAGACCCGTCCCCACCGGTACTGTATCCCAGTGTTATACAGCGACAGACCCGTCCCCACCGGTACTGTA